GTGGAGTGTGTAGGGGATGTCCTGATATGTGTGTAAGGAATGCATTGTGTGAATCTGTGTTTGTATGTGTAAGGGCTGCAAGGTGTGTTTCTGTGTATGTATGGGATGCAGTGTGTGCATCTGTAAGGGATGCATTGAGTGTGTGTGTAAGGGGTGCATTGTGTGTTGCTGTGTGTAAGGGATGCATTGCGTGTGTATGTGTGTCTGTGTGTAATGCATTGTGTGTTTTTCTGTGTGCAAGGGGTGCATTGTGTGTGTGTGTGTGATGGATGTCAATCTTCCCCCCTCTCCCTCCAATTTCCTTCTTCTCCCCCTCCCTCCCTCTCTCCAATTTCCTTCTCCCTCCCTCTCTCCAATTTCTTTCTTTTCCCCCTCCCTCTCTCCAATTTCCTTCTTCTCCCCCTCCCTCTCATTTCCCTCCTCTCCCCCCATCCCTCAAATTTCCCTCCTCTCCCCATCCCTCAAGTTCCCTCCTCCCATCCCTCAGATTTCCACCTCTCCTCCCCATCCCTCAAATTTCCTTCCTCCTCCTCCTCCCTCGGTTTCCTTCCTCTCCTCCTCCTCAAATTTCCTTCCTCTCCTCCTCCCTCAAATTTCCTTCCTCTCCTCCTCCCTCAAATTTCCTTCCTCTCCTCCTCCCTCAAATTTCCTTCCTCTCCTCCTCCCTCAAATTTCCTTCCTCTCCTCCTCCCTCAAATTTCCTTCCTCTCCTCCTCCCTCAAATTTCATTCCTCTCCCCCTCCCCCCCTCAAATTTCATTCCTGTCCTCCCTCCCCCTCAAATTTCATTCCTTACCCTTAGGGGGGTAATTTAATTCCTCTGTGTGCTTCCTCTTCAGCTCCTTCGCGCACCGTATGGATGCGGGAGCCAGAAGATGGGAGCTGAAGAGGAAGCACACAGAGGAGAGTGCTCCCGCCCGCCCGCCAAGGTCAGCAGGGCCAGCCTCTGGGGGGCCCCCAGGAGAAGAGGCTGGCCCAGTGGGTACATACCGGGGTCGCAGGGCCCCCCTGAGCAGTCCGGGCCCCCCAGGACCGCCGGGCCCATGACAACCGTTGCGGTTGTCATGCCCTGATGGCGGCCCTGTACTTGTCACAATGGACGTATTTGTAAAATGTACAGAAATTTCTATACTGAATATACATAGGTAAATCTCTGTAATTTTAGAATGTCTGCCGAGAGATCAATTGATGTACCTATCTAAATTTATAATCTAATTTATGCATATTATCTAAAAAACAAAAAAAAACACATAGAAATTTTTCATCTATTTTATGCATATTATCAAAAAAACCAAAACACATGACCATGTAAGGATCGATCAATAGAAAGATTTCTATGGATTCAGAAACATGAAAGTAGTAAATAAAATGGAATAAGGATTGTTTGTTATGCAGGGAAGTTATTTGTAGGAAACCAACAAATACATGTTTACATGAACTGTTAATTTGGAACCATCACTTTTGTAGAAACTGCACCATAGAATTTGTGTTGGCCTATTTTCATGCAATTTTCTGTTTTATTTTAGAAAATATATGAATGATTTTGCAACTGATATCATTATCCAGTTCAGTCTTGGCACAGTCAGATTACTTTGGTGGAGTAGAAACAGAAGCATGGTTTATGCTTCTGCACATTCACATACTGTGGTCAATAATGGCATACGACACACCATATACAACAGTGATTGACAGATAACTAAGATGGAGGTGCTCAGTCCCTGAATAAAGCTACATGCATCTGGGTAGATTTATCAATTACATCGAAAAAAGTGGAAAAAGAGCCATGAAAGTTATTAACCTCAAGAGTGGAGCGAGAAACGGTGGATATACAACCACCTACCCTAAATGGGAATAAATCAGAGTGTTCCAAAGTGGAGTCGAGCCCCCAATAGGACAAGCTCAAGTCTCTTCAGAGTTGGTGCCGTCTGGTGACCCTCTCCACCTTTTTTTTTTAAATATTTCCTCAGGGGGCAAGACAAAAAGCGACAAAACAGAAAACGCCTCATGGTGTAGTAGAACACAATATGTAGTGATAGAGTATAAAGTGCAATTAGCGCTCACCTTGTCCAGAGCCTATATACCTGGCTCTGGATCGAATTGCTTAGGTGTCTATGAAGAAGACACCACCCATCTTTTAAGTAGTAAAAATCCAAAACGGACCTCGGAGAGCAAGAGAAAAGCAACAAAACAGGAAAAAATACCCTCTTTGTGGTGTAGTATATCACAAAAAATTTGTAATAGGGTATAAATTGCAAGTATGCTCACCTTGTTCAGATCCTATATACCTGGCTTTATCAATCGGTGTATATATCAATTAACTTTTGTTTCTCAGACCACACTAATACATGGTGCTCGTTTCCAATTATGTTGCTTAATTAATAGGATATGCTGCTATTTAAAAAAGACATTAGTTAGTGGTTTCTGCTAATTACTAATTGGTTTCAACCTTGTCTAATTTTTTTCCCTGAGTGAGTTGTAATACTGTCTTCTCGCAAAGATACAAACCACTCAGATTAGCCACTTCCTGGTAAAGCATTGAAACAAATAGTGTGTACATTTTCAACAAATCAAATACAAGTTTTAGGAAAAAGAGTTTTCTCTGAGTATTTCCCCCCATGTTTAGCGTTTAGCCTGAGCAGGAAATAATGACTGTGTACAATATACTAAATAGTGATTGTGTGCTATGTCAAATACATATCTATGTAATTTTAATTTTTGAGGTTAATTTCTGCTATGTGACTTGTTGATTTACATGACAGATACACCTTACAGATGCAGGGCTGGTGCAAGTATTTTTGCCGCCATAGGCAACAATCCATTTTGCCGCCCCCTCATGAATGCAACTACATTACCTCAGAGGTTTATTCACTAAACTCTGAATTGCAGTGAAAAGACATTTAAAGAAAGAGACAAACTGGATAGACATTAAAGGAAAACGATAGTGCCAGGAAAACAAACTTGTTGTCCTGGCACTATAGTTTCCCCCTTTGTCAAGGACCCCCTCCCCCTGTGGTGCTGAAGTCACCCTGCGGGGGAGACCTAATGCACATGCGCGGCAATGGCATGTTACAATTATACAATGCTTTTCTATGGGGTTCTGGAGTACACTGGATGTAAAACTTCCCGGTGGGCGCCCCCTGCAGGCCGGCACCGGCCCTGTACATATGTGAAGAATAATGTTCTGTTTTAAATCATGTGTCTGGCATTTTCTTTATTTTATTTTGCTTTTGTTTTCAAATACATATTTTTAAATAAATGAAAGCGAATAAAATAATCAAAATCAGTTCCATATAAAAGTATAGAGTACCACCATTCCAGGCTTAGAAATAAAACAACTGCCAAATTATAATAAACAAATTTACCACATCCTTCTACACCATGGGTCGTCAACCTGGTCCCTACCGCCCACTAGTGGGTGTTTCAGGATTCCAGGTGGGCGGTAGGGATTTCAGAGATTGGGTGGGAGGGAGGGCGGATGCGAGCAGGCGGTACCCCTGCGACCGGGTACCGCCGTCACCATTTGCGGCCCCGGTCTGCGTGGCAAACCGCTGGGGTCGCATATGGAGAGGTCCATCGGGTGGCCCATGCTGCCGATGGATGTGGATTGAGAGGGGGTCCGGTCAGCTCTGGGCGCTTTAACAGCGCGACCGGGACCCCTGTTATTACATCACACGCTGGGAGGAAGTGACTGCACGTCACTCCTCCCAACTAAGAAACAGACCGCACGGGAGGAAGGCCAGGGAGTCAGAGTAGGAACTCTGACTCCCAGTGAAAGTCACCCTCCTGCACCTAAAAGGTAGGAAACAGGAGGGTGACTAAAATATTTTGTGTGTGTTTGTTTGTGTGTATGTGTCTTTGTATGTATGTCTTGTGTGTGTGTCTTTGTATGTCTTGCGTGTCTGTCTGTATGTCTTGTGTGTGTGTATGTATGTAGGTCTTGTGTGTGTGTCGATCTGTATATATGTGTGTATGTATGTGTGTCTTGTCTTTGTATGTATGTGTGTCTGTCTTTGTATGTATGTGTGTCTTTGTATGTGTGTCTTGTGTCTGTCTGTATGTGTGTAAGTGTCTATGCATGTCTTATGTGTGTGTCTTTGTATGTGTACCTGTCTGTATGTATGTCTGTATGTATGTGTCTTGTGTCTGTGTGTCTGTATGTGTCTGTGTGTGTGTGTCTTTATGTGTGTGTCTTGTGTCTGTATGTGTGTGTGTCTGTATGTATGTGTGCCTGTTTGTATGTTTGTGTATTGTGTGTGTCTGTATGTGTGCCTGTCTGTATGTATGTGTCTTTTTGTGTGTGTGTGTGTGTGTGTGTGTGTGTATGTATGTATGTATGTGTGCCTGTCTGTTATAGTGGGCTATAGTAAGTGGGCTACCTAGCTAAGCCTTCCTACTGGGCATTGCTATAAGGAAAGTTAAAAAATAGATAAAAGGGATAAAAAAGGTGGGGAGGTGAATTGAGGAGGGAGAGGAGCTGACGCATAGATGAGAAATCATATTATGTGCAAACAGAGAAGTCGTCTGAATATCACCGAAAGAGGAGACCTTCGTTTGTTCCTTACGAAAATCGAACCAGATATTAAATATTTAGTCTTGCAGCATCAGCCTCAAGGATCTCATTAATCACTAGTAAAGGTAATTTCAATTTACTTTATTGTTTTCCAATTAAACTTTATAACGTTAGAAAATTATAAACATGCATTAAGTAGAAATAAAAAGATAAATGTACATACATTTATTTTTTTTAAAACACCCTCCTTTCTAAAAAATATTCTGCACTTGCGCGAAAACTGGTTGGCGGTAAGGAAATTTTTCCATCAAGAAAGATGCATTAGTGGGCGGTAGGTAGAAAAAGGTTGACTACCACTTTTCTACACTATCCAAGTTAAACCGAAGTCTTAAAGAATATCAACTGGTAAGTAGTGATGTCGCGAACCGTTCACGAACTTCCCACGAACGGCTCGCCACGGTTCGCCACGAACCGTTCGCGGCAAACTCCGGTCAGCTGACACATCCCGCCCAATCTCCAGCAGACCCTCCCTCCCAGACCCTCCCACCTCCTGGACAGCATCCATGTTGAAGGCAGCTTCAACATGGATGCTCTCCAGGAGGTGGGAGGGAGGGAGGGTCTGCTGGAGATTGGCCGGGATGTGTCAGCTGACCGGAGTTTGCCGCGAACGGTTCGTGGCGAACCGCGGCGAGCCGTTTGCGAGAAGTTTGCGAACGGTTCGTGACATCACTACTGGTAAGTTGAAATGTATGGTGAACAAAGGTTTTATTATGTGTATCTAAAGATTGTATATAGGAATCCACATATTTTGAAATATGAAATATTTTTTAAACCATTTATCCTTGAACGCGGAAGAAATCCAAGTACAAAAAATAGTTTTCTGCCCAGCTGCCAATAATATTTGAATACACCTAGAATGTTGTGGGACAATGCCAGGAAAAAAATAACAAAGATGGACAGCTCTGGAGACAGTGGAACTGGGAAATGTGAGATATTTACTGAACGTAAATTCATATCTCCCCCAAAACTCTTGTATTTGGGAACATCCCCAAAAACAGTGGTATAAAGCAGCCCTCTCCGTCCGTAATCAAGCAATTTGAGGAATTGGTCAAATTAAGTCAATGTTGGGAGTCTGATACTAGCATTGCACGCTATCCACAAATGCATCTTTTGAAAGGAAAGTCCGGAAAGAATTTAAAGTACTTTTTGTGTCGCAACAAGGATGTCTTCAGTGGAAAAGAAGGGGAGTAATGTTTACCTTTTGTTAACACAGCTTGTTGGGAGAGAATAGTCCAGGATCTGTAATAAAATTGTAAACAAGTCTGATGAAATAGTTGTTTTGGAAAGGGTTCCATATCATAGATTCCATTGGTTGAGTCAAGCCATTTGTATGTAGGTTTGGTAGAACTTTTTATGTATGTTTTAATATGTCTTGCTTTAACATTTCATTGTAATGCCATAGACCTAACTTTTATTTTTATTGTATGATGTATAGTGACTTAGATGTTTGTAACTTCTTTGCACCAGACAAGAGTCTGGTGTTAAGTTTGGAGGGTTGGTGGCATTCATGAAAAGGTAGAGACAGGGCTGGATGCTATTTGGAAACTAGTTTCTAAGTAACGATAATTAGATCCCGTTGAGTATAAGATAAGTAACAACAGCCAATATCTTTTTGTCACTACTGCTGAAATTGTGCAGCAAATAAACAGCTGCTATATAAAAACAATAGTGTCACTTTAGTAAGTACCGACTGGCCGGTAAAAAGTAGCAACAAGCATGGAAATGAGCCCATTGTTGTTAAATAATGTAAATATCATCCAGAAAAATACGTCAAATTACCAATTTAAAAATAAAATACATCTCAGCAATGAAATGGAGGGATAGTGATCACCAGAAGGAGAAACATATTAATTTGCATAGAAAGCTGAATCCATCATTTAGATTTTCTAGGTTACTAGGAAAACAATGATCAAAAGCCTGAAACCATTAGTTGCATAATAAGAATAGCAATGTCTTTTATCATGTAAAACTATTTGCGATATTCTGATGAGTTATTATCATAATGCATTAATGGGAACAAATTATATAATTTTCGTAGTAATGTTAAGCTTTGGATATTTTACATGTACTATTATTATGGAGTTGTGCTTCTATTGTTCAGTTTATTGTCTGCCTATAAACCTGTCATGATGCACTGATGCAGTAAAGAGGGATGCTGGCTGGTGTATTGATTTGCTGCTAGGTAGACTTCACGTTCTTTCAACTGAATAATCACAGTAAACATTCCCTCGGCCAAAAACACACAGGAACGTAAATGAATGGAAGCAGATAATAAACAACTCATAAAGTTTTATTAGATTAATAAGCTATTGCAGTTCTAACTATCATCATTGGGAAATATTCCACTTATGTTACATTTTTTCAATTGACTTTGATTAGTCCTAATTCGATGCTCAATATCAAATTTTAAAATAATAAAAATTATTTTTATTTTTTTTAAAGAAATTTATAATATGAATTAGGTCATATTATGCCAACTGCATTTGACCTTGGGTGATTATTTACATATTTGCCAGTCAGTTGATAGTCCTATCAGTAACATCGCATTAATGATCAGAAATGTATGACATAATGGTGTACTGGTTGTTGGTAACCACTATGGGAAGTGTATGAAGGTGTCTAAGCACATAGCTCTCATTCAGTATAACAGTCAGAGACAAAGAGCCTCAAATTACATTGCAATCACGTATACATATTGGGTGGCACAACAAGATTCCAGCTGTTGCTTCTAAAGCCCAACATGTCTACCAACATCTCTTGTTTTTTTCTTAAAACAAATTTACTTCATATCTATTTTAATTAGTTGTGCTACGTATCTATTTAATTAACTGTAACTTGTCACAAGATTTCCATATTTGTTGTAACCTATATATGATTTTTTTTTTTAAATATACATTTTTCACTTACTACTTGTGTAAATAACCAACATTCGTAACTGCATTTAAATAACTGAGAAATATGTAGGTTAGACTGTTCTTTTTTTTGTATTAATAGTATACTTGTATCTCAAGAAATATTAATATATTGACTTAAAAATCTGATGCAAATCCAAGATTTGCAAGTCCAAGATTGTCAGGTCCCCCGCCCCTGCGCCTCTCATGGCGACCTTGCTTACCTCATCACAGCGAGCGGCGTCATCTGGTCCCTGTCTCCAGCCTGGAAGTGTGTCTGATGCTGCTCACTCCAGAGCAGCTTCCTTATATGTGTGCTGTACCCAGTCATGTTACCCATCACACAGTGATGACCTCAGAGACCACAAGGGAGGGAAGAAACTCCTGCCACATGTTGTGGTTAACACTAATTGGAGATTAGCCAATCAGACACACCCTGTGTGTATATAAGCTAACCCCTACCTTGCCTCAGTGCCCTATTGTGGTCTTTGGTTTACCATTGAGCGTTGCACTTGTTATTTGGATTTCCTGGGTACTGATATTTGGCTTTGTTTCTCATTATTCCATCTCTCTGTTTCCCTTGACCTCGGCTAGTGTTTTGACTATCTCTTTTTGCATAACCCGACCATTCTAAGGATCGGTATTGCAATTTTCTCTACTCTGTCCTGTCTGCAAGTTAGGGTTCCCTAGTGAACGTTACAAAGATCACCTTGCACATTTCTTGCAGCCATACCTTGAGCAACCGAATCAAGGCTGCTACTTGAACTTACACTCCCAGAATTCTATATAATTTATTTTCCTTTCACTTATGTTGCAAAATGGAAATTGGTCTATAAAGATTCACTCACCATCATTTAACTCTAGGAATGCTGACCAGCTTGTCAATGTACTGATTTTTCTGCCAGGAGCCACTAGCCACTTATTTAATGTCTGAAAATGTGCTTAAAATAGCAGCTCACCCATTATTTTCAAATAGTGAAATAAATTGTTTATATGGGTAATACCATTCTTACAGTAAGCGTGTATGTGGGGGGAGGTAGAGAGTGATTGAGCTCTTCCATTTTAATGCTATCATTGCACTGGCATTCCTTAGATTGATAACGTTTGTGTTTGCAATTTTTTAATTTCCTTACTTTAGAAATGTGATTCCCATACATTGTCCTATTCATAACCTAATTATCTTAAGATCAAAAATGAGTGACCAACTTAAATTTCCCTAAATAAAAAAGAATACATTTGTTTAAACAAATCAAAATTAAGTTAACCATTTCCCTCTCAACCCAGTGCACTCAGGAGTCATTACAGACACTAGCCCTTCAAGTATACTTGGCAGAGAAACAAATGCCTCCACGAAAGCCTCTGGTGTCCCCCAGGGCCAGCCCATGTGGCCAACACAGCTCGCAGATGGTCAGTGTCAGGGGAGCTAAAACAGGTACTAGGGTGGAGGATTAATTATTCTCCACCCAGGTCTATTTAAAAAAAAAAATAGAGGCGGCGGGGCAGGGCTTATTGCAAGGCGGGGACGGGGTTTATCGCAATGCGGGGCTAATACCTCCCCGAAGCCCCTGCACAAGAAGAGGGAAGAAGGAAGGAGCCCCTGCTTCCCCAACAACCAACTGTCTCCACTCCCCCTTTCAGTCATAATGGAAAGAGGTAAGTCTGTATGTCTGTGTGTGTGTGTGACTGTCACGAGTGGCAGTATGGAAACCGGGACCCCTGAGTGCCTGATGAGAAGTTGGGAGTCTTCAGCGTGGAAGAGGATTACAGGGCCAGGTGCTGGGTAACCGCACGTCTTCTGGTAATGAGCACCAGTGTTTGTGCGGTCACATACCAGAACCCTGATGCAGCTACAGCGGATCCCAGGAACTTGAAGCTAGGAAGTAAGCAGACCTCCCAGGAACTGGATAGGGTGGCTCTGCAGCAGACATGTATCCAGTACAGAAACAAGGCAAGGCTAGGATAGCCACCAAACAAGAAAACAAAACAGAACAGAACTAGAAGAACCCAGAACCAGAGAAGGATAGACAGCTAAACCCAGAACATGTATACAATACATAAGGGAACATTAACTAAACAGGGGCAGGACAGGACTGTACATGGACTGGGAATTCAAACTAAAATAAGACAAGATATGATAGGCAAAACAAGAGGAGATATAACTAAGCACTATATATGAAAATCATGGGGATTTAGTCACATTATATGATCACACATTGCATAAGCCTGCCAGCAACGCCAATGTACCCCATACCGGGCAGGTCCTACACTACCTAATGTTCACTAAAAGAACCATACTAAACCACAATAGCACTTACCTGCAAGAAAGGGCAGAGACTTGAAACACTGCTGCAGGTCCAGACTGAAACAAAAGGAAAATGGAAAACAAACGGGTGTGGCAACATAAAACAAACATTTAAAGGAAACCTGGACACTGGGAATTCCAGAGACAGATTACAGGAATGAACCCAGAAAAACCCAGCATAAAGAAAACCAGACATAGAATAGAAAACCAATAAAACAAGAAAAACTAAACAGGAATTGTAAAAAGAGTACTGGATACCAGAAACCAAAGCCAGACATCTCCCCAGAACATGGCATGATGTGACAGTGACTGCCTACCTGTGTGTGTGTGTGACTGTGTGTGAGTGCCCACCTGTTTGTGTGTGTGACTGCCTGCCTGTGTGTGTGACTGCCTGCCTGTG